GCTGTGCCCGAGAAACCGTTCCTGAGGTTGATGGGCGTCGCTATCTGCTTCTCATCGCCCATGCGCCCGAAGAAGGCGTCACGGGCTCGCTCTTGGTACTCCTCGAAGAGCGCAGGATCACCGTCATACAGCGGGATGTCCTTCTCGAACTCCAGCTTCGACACTCTTGACATGGTCGCAGACCTGCACACCGCACTCGTGGCGCGGCTGCCGGAAGTAGTAGGAGTTGCAGTGGAACTGCTGCACACCGCGCTTGGCGCGGCTGCCGGGTTGCCAGACACCGCCCAGGTAGTCCAGCTTGTGTGGGTACGCCAATCCCCACGCCGTGGATGCCGGCCTGCTCCCCGCAGGCGGGCGCGCTGCCCCGCGCCACAGGGCGCGCCTATGCAGACCTCCGCGCAGCTGCTGCGGAGGCGGGAGCTGGCCGGGGCGAGTGGGCCAGCTCCGCTACCATCCAGTAGCGGGCCGCCGCCCGCGATCGTTTCTGGTTTTCTGCGCCGTAAACTCAAGAGCTCTTGAGCCAAACGTCAGCGGTCTGAGCGGGTGAGAGGGGCAACGGCACTGGCAGGCTGGGAAAGGGGATGATCGCAGATGCAATTCAACAGAGGAGGAGTAATAGAGGGATGCGGAAGGAGGATGAGAAGGAGTAGGAGACATTTTGGGAGCCTCTTGGGGAACCCTTGGGGCCGCCTGGGATTTTCCTGGGGGCATCTTGGGAGCCTCTTGGGGGCATCCTTCAGCCTCTTGGTGGCCTTTGGGGCTTCTCGAGGGCCTCTCTGACTGGCCCGTCTGACGCCGTCGGAAGGCCTCTTGGGAGCCTCTCTGGCATTTTTGGGGCCTTCTTGGGGCGCTTCAGTGTCGTCTTGAATGTCATCTTGGGCGGCTCTTGAGAGCCTCTTGGGGCGTCTGGGGTCCGTTGGGGGCCGTCTTGGGAGGCTCTTGGGTCGTCCTCGGGCCGTCTTGGAAGCCTCTTGGGCGATGTTGGGGCAATCTTGGGGGCCTCTTTGTCCGTCATGGGCCGTCGGACGGCTGTTTTGAAGCAAATGCCAACATCATTCAACAGCCTAAGGAACAATGATTTTGCCTCTTGGGGCCCTCCTGGAGGACCTCTTGGAGGCCTCTTGGGCTGCCCGAGGGGCCTGGCTTCTTGGGCGCTTCTTGAGCGTCTTGGGCCGTGTTGAGGCCATCTTAGGCCGTCGTGAGTGCATCTTGGGCCGCCTTGGCAACACTGTTCGGCCATCTTGGGCTCTCTCGGGGCTTGCTCGGCCGTCTTGGAGGCTTCTTGGGACCACCTTCGAGGCCATATTGGGCCATGCTAGCCGTGTTGGAGGCGATTTGACCAACGAGGTGTGCGGTTTGTGCACCTCTCCGTTTGGCTGGCGGGTTGGACCGAGACCCCACGGGGAGTCCTTTAGACAATAATCACACATTATTCCAGTGCGACCCTACCTAGGAGTTGGAGCATCCAGGAAAGCAACATCTACATCTACACCGACAGCTATGCTATGCTATGCTATGGTGCGCTATGCTATGTTATGATGTGATGTGCTATGCTATGCTATGCTATGATATGCTATGCTGCGCTATGCTATGATATGCTATGCTATGCTATGCTGCGCTATGCTATGATATGATATGATATGATATGATATGATATGATATGCTGCGCTAGGCTATGATGTGCTATGCTGTGCTATGATATGCTATGCTATGCGATGATATGCTATGCTATGATAATGCTGCGCTAAGCTGAGCTAAGCTAGGCTAGGCTAGGCTACGCTAAGCTCAGCTAAGCCAGGCTAGGCTAGGCTAGGCTAGGCTAAGCTAAGCTAAGTTAAGCTAGGCTAAGCTAAGATGATATAAGCAACGCTACGCTAAGGGGACGTGACTGGGGGAACCGCGGGGCGGATGCCGGGGAATCGCCTTGGACGGGTTCCACTGCCCGGCCCCTTTAAGATACAGGGTAAGAACCCTTCTAGGCAGAGACCCCACGGGGAGTTCTTCAGACAATAATCAAAAACTTACCAGACATTTGGCACGCCATGCACCCATGTCGCAGGGGGCGGCGAATCGAAGACGCCTACGGCGAACCAACGCCGCTCCCGACCATTTTCTGGATACGCCAATGTGCCCAAACGTTTGGGCAAAGTTTGGCCAAGCTATTAGACCATGTGCTCCCCCAGCCGTTGTGGAAGTCCTTCGGGGAACACGTCGGGGAAGGAAGAGGAGGAGAAGGAGAAAGATGAAAAGGAGGAGGAGGAGGAGGAGAAGGAGGAGGAGACCTCTTGGGAGACACTTGGGGAACTCTTGGGGCCTCCTGGGAGCTTCCTTGGGGCCTCTTGGAGGCCTCTTGAGGCCCTTGGACCTCTGTGGGGTCGCCGTCTCAGCTCGTTCGAGGCCCCCAAGACGCCGTCGGGAGGCGTCCAGGGGGCGGGGTCCTCGTGGGGTGCTTCGGGGCCGTCTCGGAGGCCATCCTGGGCGTCTTGAAAGCCTCTGGGGCTGTCTTCGGGCCCTCCTGGGGCCCTTTTTGGCCGTTCATCGGTCATCTTGGATGCCTCTTGGCCCCCTGGACGCACAGGCTCGGGCGCAGGCAGTGCTTCCAGGGTGGCCTTGGTGGTCTGTGGCTCGGGCTTCCGACGCGTTGGCGACCTCGCAATGGTCTGCAAAGTGCCGCCTGGGCATTTGCACGGCACCGCAGGCCAGCCTGACACGCCGCATTGCGGCGTGCCGCTCGCTTCCAATTTGCACCACCCACCACCCCGCTGTCTGTCGCGCGGGCGCGGGCCGGCTGAGATGCCATGCTGCTGCAGTGGCGGTGCTCATGAAGCACCTGCGGGCGACCGGCGCCTCCCGGAGCTGCCACTCCAGGAGCTGTATTGCGTCGGCGATTACGGTGTGGTGCACGATCGCTTCATGGACCTGGTGGTGTGGTGGCCGGCAGAAGCCGCCGGTATTTGGTGGCCGGCAGAAGCCGCCGGTACATGCTGGACGTGACCATCAGGTCGCTCTTCGCCGCGCGGTTGCCCACCCCGCACCTGCTGCCTGGAGCGCGGCGGTGAAGGAGGGCGAGAAGGACAAACCTTGGCATTACGAAATGGCCGTGCTGCCCTTCGCAGTGGAGCCCAGGGGCCGCCTCGGCCAGATGGCCCTGGCGAGGCGCTGACGGCGCCTCACCAGGAGAGCCCCCAGCTCCCGGCCCGACACGCGCATGCGCCTTGGCCATCGGCCGCCTGCGCGCCGATCCGCGCCGCCCAGACGGCGCTGGCCGCGCTGGGGCTGGGCCACTGGCGCACAGCAGAAGCGGCGCAACGGCGCGCGCGGCAGCTGAGTGGAGGGAAGTGGCGGGAAGCATTTTGTGTTGGTGGGGCGGATTGGGAGGGAGGAAGGGAGGGAGGAGAAGGAGGAGGAGGAGGATGAGGAAGAAGAACAATCATAATAATCATACTTATCATAATGATCATTATAATAGTAGTAGTAGTAGTAGTAGTCGTCGTCGTCGTCGTCGTCGTCGTCGTCGTCGTCGTCGTCGTCGTCGTCGTCGTCGTCGTCGTAGTAGTAGTAGTAGTAGTAGTAGTAGTAGTAGTAGTAGTAGTAGTATTAGTAGTATAGTAGTCGTAGTAGTCGTAGTCGTAGTCGTAGTCGTAGTCGTAGTAGTAGTAGTAGTGTAGTAGTAGTAGTAGTAGTAGTAGTAGTAGTAGTAGTAGTAGTAGTAGTAGTAGTAGTAGTAGTAGTAGTAGTAGTAGTAGTAGTAGTAGTAGTAGGTAGTAGTAGTAGTGGTAGTGGTAGTGTGTAGTGTAGTGGTAGTAGTAGTAGTAGTAGTAGTAGTAGTAGTTAGTAGTAGTAGTAGTAGTAGTAGTAGTGTAGTAGTGGTAGTGGTAGTGGTAGTGGTAGTGGTAGTGGTAGTGGTAGTAGTAGTAGTAGTAGTAGTAGTAGTCAGTAGCAGTAGTAGCAGTAGCAGTAGCAGTAGCAGTAGCAGTAGTAGTAGTAGTAGTAGCAGTAGTAGTAGTAGTAGTAGTAGTAGTCGTAGTAGTAGTAGTAGTAGTAGTAGTAGTAGTAGTAGTAGTAGTAGTAGTAGTAGTAGTAGTAGTAGTAGTAGTAGTAGTAGTAGTAGTAGTAGTAGTAGTAGTAGTAGTAGTAGTAGTAGTAGTAGTAGTAGTAGTAGTAGCAGCAGCAGCAGCAGCAGCAGCAGGAGGAGGAGGAGGAGTAGTAGTAATAAGAGGAAGAGGAAGAGGATATGAGGAGGAGGAGAAGGTGGAGGAGGTGGAGGATGAGGAGGAGAAGGAGGAGGAGGAGGAGGAGGAGGAGGAGGAGGAGGAGGAGACAGGGCGGAGACAGGACGGAGAAGGATTGAGGACGGAGAAGGGAGGATGGAGGAGGGACGGAACGACGCCAGTTAGCACCCGAGCGTCGCGATTTCATCTCCTTAGGCTCGGCACCGTGGGCGGGGGATGGACGGAATGACGCCAGTCAGCGCCGAAGCATCGCGGTGCGAGCGCCTCAGGCTCGGCACCGCCGTGGCCGACGCTACCCCAGGCTGAAGCGCGATGCATCCCACTCGTCCCAACCTTCTGATGTCGTGGGGGCGGCCCCGCCCACGCGCTCAGACCCACCTTGGCATGGGGTGCCCAGCCCGCGCGCAGGTTTGCAAGGTGCCAGGGCTGCGTCGCATGCCCAGGGCAGTTTTCTGGAGGCCCGCCAGCCGCTTCCGCGTGGAGCGCCCGCTTCTGACTGAGGACGTAGCCACCCACCCCCACCCAGGACCCCCACCGACCTGATGATTTTGGAGGTCCTGGCTGGGCGTGAGGGCCGTTCCGGCCCCCACCAACATCCAAAAGCCACCCCCACATCCGGCCAGGACCCCCTGGGGATCAGCAGCTCGGGGTCCCCTGGCTCCTCACTGACAGCATCGCACACACGAGCCTGGGAGGAAGGGGAGGGCAGGGAGGGAGGGCGCGGGTGCGCGGCGTCGGGCGACCGCCGGGAGCGGCAGCCAGCGGCAGGACATCTTCCTGCGGCTGCAGGAGGCCGGGGCTTGTGGCTCTGGGGGGGCGCGGCTCCCCCCTCTGCCCGCCCGCCGTCCTGCTCCGATCTTCGGTCAGGACGAAAGGGGTACGGAAACAGTAGGTACACTGTTCATTCTGAACAGGGTTCGCCGTCGGCGTCACCATGGACGTTGTCCATTTGAGACAGGAGGCCACCTTTCCAACAGCAGCCGCTGTCGTTTTCGGACAACGCTCGTTGTTGAGCATTGTGCCCATTTGTTCTGTCCCCATTCCGGGCGTCCAAATAAGGGACGAAGGAGGTTTGATTCTGCTGCTCCGAGTCACGTCGGGGCTCAAGAGGCGGGGGTCAACGCAAACGCGGGTCCTCCAGAGCGCGGGATCTTGCAGGATCTTGCAGAGCCAGGGGTGCAATGACCCAGGCTTGGGCGCAGGCAGGATCTTGCAGGATCCTGCAACGCCTGACAGACCCGTGTTTGGATTGACCCGGGTCAGTGGATCCCCATTCATAGGGGGATCGAGTTGTGAAGCGTTTCTTCAGCTTTTTGTAGAGGCGTCTGGAGGGTTCCTGAAGCCTACGCGGAGCTCTACAGGCCTTCCAGGGGCCTCCGGCGGCCCTCGAAATATCACGCCTGGGTTTCTGTTGGCCGTCTTGGAATGACGGGAACCGCTCCCGGGTCACAGCATCGTCAAACACGACGCGTAATGAAAAGGTTGTCCGGGAACGGGCGTTGGCGATTGTCAACCATTGCCTTCTCGGATCGTGCCCGTTGAGACGCAAGAGTGCCATGCCGAGGGCCAACATCTAGCACGTCATCTGGCGCACTTTCCCCTCCCTCCTTTCACCGCTTGAACAGCCACCCTACTTGTTAACCCTTCAAGCGTGCCGACAAGCCCATTTAGAAACGACGCAGAGGCGAATTGGTTGGACAAGGGAAGTGAAGAAGAACATTCTGTGAAGCATAGCGGACAACCGACTCTGCAGGTTTGGAGGCCTCCGGGAGGTGTCCGGGAGCCCTCTTGTGGCCCTCTCGGGGCCATTTGGGGAGCCATGGGATCCATCTTGGGCCTCTGTTAGGGCCACCTTTGGAGCCTTGGTGATCCTCGTTGGGCCAGTCTGGAGTACATCGATTCAACAACGGATGCGGCATCAATGCGCACCCCCGTCGGAGCCCGATAAATAGTCTCGACGGGGCTCTCGGGGCCATTGAAGGGTATTTTGGAGCCCTTCTTGTCCATCTTAGGGTTGTCTTGGGATCTCTTTCAGGCCTCGAGCAAAACCCTATATGAAGTGTACGGGCAAGAACGCAGGCAGCATTGAAGATCATGCTTGTTTTAGTGATTTGGGCCTTCGGTGATCATTATTTATTGGGTGGCTCTGAGGTCACATCGGGCCGTCATGTATCGGTCTTGGGGGCATCTTGGCAACATGCTGAAGGCTATCTTGGTCCAACTTTGGGAAAGAGCGCGTTCTGTGGTTGCTTGGAGGGGGGGGGGGACCGGACCCCCCCCCCTTGATGGAGGGTGGGGTTCAAACCCCTCTCCCCCCATCCCGTGACGGAAGGGGGGGGGTTCGAACAGGAAATGGGACGAATTACAACCGACTAGTCCCAATTCCAACCGTTCGGATCGAATTGCAACCAGAAATGGGACCAATTACAACCATGGGATCTTCAGAAGTATTTCTTTTTTCTTCAGAAGTAGTTATTTCTTCTTCAGAAGTATTTTTTTCCAGAAGTATTCCCTTCCTCTTCAGAAGTACTTCGATTCCTTAGGATTCCTTGGGATTCCTTAGGATTCCTTAGGATCCTTCGGATTCCTTAGGGTCCTTGGGATTCCTTAGGATCCTTAGGATTCCTTAGGGTCCTTAGGATTCCTTAGGATCTTGAGGAATTCCTCAGGATTCCTCCGGATTCCTTCAGGAATCCTTCGGAATCTTTACGAATCCATCGGAGTCCTGAGAAATCCTTTGGCCGACGGAGAAATCTTTAGGCCGACGGAAATAATTTTGGTGCGGGTCCCTCCTCCTATTAATTTTCCTCCTCCGCCTCCTCCCCCCCTCCTCCTCCTCCTCCTCATCATCATCATCATCATCCTCTCACTACCAATGGGATTATTATCATCACTACTACTACCACTACTACTACTACTACGACTACTACTACTACTACTACTACTACTACCACTACTACTACTACTACTACTACAACTACTACAACTACTACTACTACTACGACGACGACGACTACGACTACGACGACTACGACTACGACTACGACGACTACGACTACGACTACGACTACTACTACTACTACTGCTACTACTACTACTACTACTAATACTACTACTACTAATACTACTGCTGCTACTACTACTACTACTACTACTACGATTCCTACTACTACTACTACTACTAGTACTACTTCTACTTCTACTACTACTACTACTACTACGACTACTACTTTTACTACTAGTACTACTACTACTACTACTACTACTACCACTACTACCACTACCACTACCACTACCACTACAAATACTACTACGACTACTACTACCACTACTATTACTACTACCCTTACTACCATTACTATTACTACTACTACTACTACTACTACTACTGCTGCGACTGCGACCACGTCCACGACTACGACTACTACTACCACCACCGACTACTACTACTACTACTACTACTACTACTACTACTACTACTACTACTACTGCTACTACTACCATCACCACTACTACTACTACGACTACTACTACGACGACTACTACTACTACTACTACTACTAATGCTACTGCGACTACTACTACTACTACTACTACTACTACTACTACTACTACTACGACTACTACTACTACTACTACTACTACGACTACTACTACTACTACTACTACTACTAGTACTACTACTACGGCTACTACTACGACTACGACGACTACGACTTCGACGACTACGACTACGACTACGACGACTACGACTACGACTACTACTACTACTACTACTACTACTACTTGTACCACTGTTACGACTACGACTACTACAACTACGACTACGACTACGACTACTTCTACTACGACTACTATCACCACCACTACTACTACGACTACTACTACGACTACTCCTACTTCTTCTACTACTACTACTACTTTTGCAACTATAATCACTAATACTGCGATCATTACTACTCATATTACTACTACGACTCACTACTACTACCACTACCACTTCTATTACCACTATTACTATCACTACTACTACTACTATTACTACTACTACTACTACGCCTACTACTTCTATTGCTACTACTACTACCACCACTAGTACTACTACTATTATTATTACGACGACTACTACGACTACGACTACTAGTAGTAGTACTACTACGACGACTACGACTACTACTACTACTACTGCTGCTGCTGCTACTACTACGACTACTACTACTACGACGACGACTACTACTACTACTACTACTACTACTACTACGTCTACTACTACTGCTACTACTACTACTACTACCACTACTACTACTACTACCACTACCACTACTACTACTACTACTACTACTACTACGACGACTACGACGACTACTACGGCTACGACTACTAGTAGTAGTAGTACTACGACGACGATTACTACTACTACTACCACTACTCCTGCTGCTGCTGCTGCTACTACTACTACGACGACTACTACTACTACTACTACTATTACTATTACGATTACTACTACTACTACTACTAATATCACTACTACTGCTACTACTAGGAGACATGTTGCATCTTTTAGAATCGATGCATTTCGGTTTGGTGTTGCTTACAGTTCGGTGCCCTCTTGCTCATCTTAACATAGTGCTCGTGCGCAGACCAAACTGAGACCAAGTCCAACTGTGGCACGTATGCTGGCTTCCAGAACCTCTGCGTTGACATAAGAGGTGTCACTTGGTCCTCACAGTCGTCTTGTGCTTCTCTACACTGAACCTTATTGTGAGGCTATCCCAAGCAGGTTGGGATTGGGCCCAGTTTGCTTTTCGCACTGGTTGGGAATGGTCCCAGTTGGCTGGGATTGGGCCCAGTGGGTTGGGATTCGGCCCACATGCGGTTGGACCCCCCGCCCTCCTGCCCTGCTTCTCCTCTCTCCCTCTCCTCGGGCCGGCGCCTGCGGCGGCGGCGGCTGGCGGCGGCGGCGGGGACGACGACTTCCTTTTTTGGGCCAGCGCCGGCGCCTGCGGCGGCGGCGGGGAGCGTCGCCGAGGACGACGGCGACGACGATGACGACGACGACGCTCCGCCACCGTGCCTTGGTTTCGGGTCAGAGTCGTAATGGGTGCTTCGTGGGGTCTCGTCAGGGGGCTTTCGGGGGACTCTGACGGTGGTGGTGATGGTAGTTGTGGTGGTGGTGGGTTAAGGTGGTGGTGGTGGTGGCGGTGATGGTGAGGTGGTTTGTCGTGGTGGTTGTGGTGGTGGTAGTGGTTGTGGTGGTGGTGGTGGGTTGTGGTGGTGGTGGTGGCGGTGGTGGTGGTGGTGGTTGTGGTGCTGGTGGTGGATTGTTGTGGTGGTGGTGGTGGTTGTGGTGCTGGTTGGTTGAGGTGGTGGTGGTTGTGGTGGTGGCGTGGTGGTTTGTTGTGGTGGTGGTTGTGGCTGCGGGTGGTTATGGGTGGTGGTGGTGGTGGTGGTGGTGGTGGTGGTGGTTGGGGTGGGGTGGTGGTGGTTTGTGGTGGTGGTGGTGGTGGGTTGTTGTGGTGGCGGTGGTGGTGGTTGTGGTGTGGTGGGTTGTGGTGGTGCTGGCGGTGGTGGTGGTGGCGGTGGTTTGTGGAGGTGGTGCTGGTGGTGGTGGTGGTGGCGGTGGCGGTGGTGGTGGTGGTGGTGGTAATTTGTGGTGGTGGTGGTGGTGAGTTGTGGCGGTGGTGGTTGTGGTGGCGGTGGTGGTGGTGGGTTGTGTGGTGGGTTGGTGGTGGTGGTGGTGGTGGTGGTGGTGGTAGGTTGAAGTGGTTGTAATTGTGGCGTCGGTGGTGCTGATGGTGGCGTGGTGGTTTTTGGTGGTGGTGGTGGTGGGCTGTGGTGTTGGTGGTGGTGGTGGTGGTGCTGCTGGTAGCGGCGCTGGTGGTGGTGGTTGGTGGTGGGTGGTGGTGGTGGTTATGGTGGTGGTGTGATGGTTCGTGGTGACGGTGGTGGGTTGTGCTGATGGTTGTGGTTGTGGCGGTGGTGGTGATGGTGGTCGTAATGGTGTGGTGGTTTGTGGTGGTGGTGGTTGTGGTGGTGTGGTGGTGGCGTTTTTGGTGGTGGTGGTGGTGTTGTGGTTTGTGGTGATGGTGGTGGTTGTGGTGGTGGTGGGTTGTGGTGGTTTGTGGTGGTGGTGGCGGTGGTGGTGGTGGTTGTGGTGGTGGTGGGTTGTGGTGGTTTGTGGTGGTGGTGGCGGTGGTGGTGGTGGTGTGGTGGTGGTGGTGGTGTGGCCTTCGGCTCTTCCCGCCACCTTGTTTTGGCTGTGGGTCAGAGTTCTAATGGATGGTGCCTCTTTGAGGTCTCGTCAGAAGGGTCTCGGGGGCGTTTGAAGAGCATGTGTGAAGCCTCGTGGACCTTCCTCGGGGCCTCTCGGTAGCCTCTGCGGGGCGAGGGTTCGATATGGCGATTTGCGTGTTCCCTGTGTGGCCTCAGGGCTCTCTCTGGTGATCGGGTAATCGTCGCTGCGTCCCCGACGTCGGCGCCGGCGCCGGCGCGGGGAGGAACGGGGGGTTTGGAACCTTCCCTCTCCCCCTGGGCCCTCTCTGGTCATCGTCGCTGCGTCCCCACCGTCGGCGCTGCTGGCGGCTGCCAGCGCGGGCGCCGGCGCCGGCGCCGAGTGGGGGGGGGGGGTTGGACCCCCCCCTTTGGGAGGTGCGGCGACGGGGCTCGGCAAGGGGAGGGGGTTAGGTGGGAGGGGAGTCCCCCTGGTTCTGATCGACGGCGCCGAGTGTGGGGGGGGACACCCCCCAGTTCGAAACGCGCAATGTTCCCAAGGCAAGCGCCCGTGAAACGCGCTCTGTCAATTTTGGCTATTTCGGGGCATCTTGAAGACTATCTAGTGCTATTTGGAGCCGTCTTGGAGACACATAGAGGTAGTCAGGTGGGGAGGTCAACTGCACAAGCCGATGTTGCAAGCTGGCTCGCGCACTCCCACCCGCCCGCCCAACACAGGAATAGCACCAGAGACAAAGCGTAGGCATCGGCCGCCAAGGAGTGGGCAGCCGCCGATAGCCAGTCTAGATGCCATGTGCGAGACGTGTACCACGTGCTCTAGATGCGTCAGGCACCCCAGGTGCTCTAGGTGCGCAAGGTGTGCCGCGCACGTGTGGCGAGCCACGTGTGCCGTGTGCGCCAAGTGTGCCAGGAAGCGCGCCTGGTGTGTGCAAATGCACCTCGTGCAGTAAACGTGGCAGTTGTGCCATGCGTGCCGACTGCGCCAGGTGCGCCAGTACACGCGACATCACACATCGGGTGCTATGCAGACACTTCCCACCAGTTTTGACGCAAAGCCATGTACAGTGGTGGTTGGGCGGTCAACAATATGTATTTCTTCTGTGTGCACATGCAGTAGCGTTGCATTGTTTTTGGTATCTGAGATGGTGAGCCGAACACGCTTGATAATATCGTCTCCTTGCCCCGCCAAACCTGTCAAAACACGCGCACAGTGATCGCAGGGCGCCCGCTCACGATCCAGATTTGCCACAACGAGCGTTCTATTATTGTTTTTGATTGGACTTGTGTGAGGGGGTGTACATGGTTCCTCGTTGGCGGCTATTCGGGTGTGGTGGATAGTCCTGCCATCCGGAGCTGTGATGCAATCTTCCCGAGGAGAGAAAAAGCAGTCGCAAGAGGTGACGACTCAAACCATGTTGATTTCTCCCAGAGAGCTGGTGAAACTAAGACTCCCCCGTCACCCCGCTGTATTACCCCATCCTTTCTTCTCCCCTCCTTTCGCTCCCTTGTCCTCACCCTTTTTCCTCTGCCCTTCCCTCCCTTACGTTCGGACCCCCCCCTTCCCTCCCTCCTCTCCCTCCCCGTCCCCACCTTCAGGAGTGGATCCGGGTGTTTCTGGGCCAAGGTGTCCCCAGCGTCCTCGGCACCCATGAGCCTCGGGAATTCCTGCCCGGGGCTTCCCTGCAAGAGCCCCCTCGGACTTTTGTTGGCCAGGATCATTTTGACGTGCCGGCGGTCCACAGAGGAGGTAGCCGGAGGCCCCCGCCCCGCAAAGACCTCCAGAGGTTCCTTGGTAGCTCTCGTCCCGTCAACGCTTGACCTCCCCTCCCCTCCTCGCTCCTCGGGCCCCCGGTGCCGTGCTCTTGCGGCGCGAGGCCAAATGGCAGTGGCGGAGCTGCTTCGTCTGGCGGGGGAGGGGTGCGGGCAGAGCTCCGTTGTTGTCGCCGCCGCCGTTGCCGCTGCCGTCGTCGTCGCCGCCATCGTCTTCCTGGCAGCCGCTGCCGCCGCAGTCGTTCTCGCCGCCGCCGTCGCCGTCGCCCTCGAGCATCGAGGGTAGAGCTTTCTCGGTCGTTCGGTTTACAAAGAAAACCGCGCGACAGCCTTGCACACCGCGGCCGCCAGGGCCCAGTGATCTCGAGATCCCAGAGTATCCTACCTCGCCCGCCAGCGTGCACATCGCCCGAGTCTCCCGCCTCGCACGCCAGCGTACATCCCGCGGCCGCCAGGCCCCAGTCGTCCCGAGCATCGCGTCAAAAGCTAGGATCAAGACTACATACATCAAACAAATACACCAAGGGTGTGTGCGTCGTGCATACGACTGCAATTCAGTAACACGCATAACACGCATCATCACATACATCATGGACGCACACCAAGATCACCCACCATACCATACATTCATCACGTACAGCACGAACAGGCAGCAATGACTGACATTCGTAACATCCGTCAGTGACACGCATTAAGAGCAGGCAGCAAAAAGAGACAGCCAGGACGTACTCATCAGCAGTAACAGTCATCAGTTTCATACGTAGAGGACCTCCAGGGGAAATTAACATACGCCATCAGCATACATCAGCGGACGTGCACAACTACACATACGCGTCGGCAGCATGCGTTAATGCCACGCACATCGTACATGCGTATCGATCATGCGCAGAACGTTGTGTATCATGGTGCGCTGTGGTGTCACATGCGACCCACTCTCGGCAGCTCCTGTGTGGGGATCGCCCGAAGGGGTGGGATTGGGAATACCCAGACCTCCAACATTTAGAGAAACAACCGGAAGGATGTCTGTCCTCGTGTTCAGATTCCGTATGCCCTCGCCGGGTTCCAACCGCGTCAAACAATAGTCTTGTGGAGGCATTGGTCTTGGGAAAAGAGTTCGGACTTCTAGGGTTCCGCATCGAATCAAGACATCAGGTGACTTGTGTGTGTGTGTGTGTGTGTGTGTGTGTGTGTGTGTGTGTGTGTGGGGTGGGGGGGGGGGGGGGTAGCTTCGCCGGGGCCATGAGGTCTCCATGGCTTCAGGGCCCCTTTTTCCTTTGGACTCTTTGAGCAAGTTCGTTGCCAGCCCCCTAGTACGCGCCAATGCCTCGGGCCAAAATGTGCTGACCCCCCTCTAACTGCCCCCCTGGGTTATTTTGCGCTCCGTCGTGCAATCGAAAACGCACGACGTAGTTGTGGTCGACCCCTTGGTAACGCTTGTCCTCTGGGGTGTTTGGATGCGTTTTGCCCTTACCGGGCTTCCAGAAGCCCCTCAGATAATGAACCGTCTGCTGTTGGCTGCGCCACTGTATCCACCTCCAGCCGCCGAAACTTACAACCGCCTATCCTTTGACTGCGCCTTAGGTTGTGCCCTTGGCCGCCGTTATATGCAACAGCTTCCTATTAGCTGCGCGTTGGGGGCAAATCAAGTCGAGGCCCGTCCGACTGGTCGTCCTCGGCTTCAGCCTCGTCGTAGTCGTTCGTGTCCGTCCCCTCTGTTCTCTCCTCCTCCTCGTTCCTCCTAGGTAGTCCCTCCTCCGCGGAGCTTCATTCGGGCGGACGGCGACGGGCGGGAAACAAACGTGAGGGGATCGAGCGGTGCATCAAAGTTGCCTTAAAAGAGTTCCGAATGGTTCCTAAATCGCCACCTCGGGGCCCGAAGGCACGAACGACGCACTGATCTACACCCCACTATTATTGCACCGCGTTAGCGAACACCCGATCCATGGGTTGCGCCACAGCTCGCGCCACATCTATGTCGCTAGCGGCACCACAGGCTGTGCCATAGGTAGCGCCACAGGTTGCTTCATTAAG